TTTTGAGAAAACAAATCTCAAAATGAGATATATATAAATAAAAGATTTCAATTTCAGGACAAAAAATGCTGGCACTAAAAAGTGCGTATATACTATAAAACTGATTTGATCTTGTTGGTCTGAAGATAACCTTTAAAATGAGATGTTAAATTCTTTATCTAGGATTATCACATGGGGTTTAATCGGGATGGAAAGTGATACAAAAATGACCAGAATCGAGTTACATAGGCACGGTGGCGGGCATCGCTATCGTCACGGTTGTTAAGCAAGGGAGTGGCCGACTGTTTTATCTTCACACAGGAGGTCAGACTGGGGTTTGATCTGCAACTAAAGTACCACTTTCAGCGGGATTTTAACAGCCGTGGTATGTAATAGCTTCACAATGAAAGAGAAAAAACTTACGCTGTAAAGCTGATTAAATATCCCTTTAGTTTTAGTTTTAGCAAAAGTCATATAAGTGATGAAGATTAGAGGAGTTACAAGAGAGTAACAAACACAAAAAAGAAGGACGGGAGATAAAGACGATAGACGTTTTTTTTGTTTGTTTTTTATAGTGGAGGGTTTTACGGCGCTCGCAACTGCATAAGGCCAAGGTGTGGGTGTCAACAGAGAAGTCTTTACAGGGAATCAGACTTAGACTGCTCACCTCTCTAGCTTCAACAGCACAAGGTCTGCTTCGACTATCAAGGCACCCCAAAATAGCAGGTCACAAGGGAGTGACAAACATACAAAAGAAGTAGCGGAAAATGACAGGAAAGAAGAAGCAAACCACACCAGAGCACCCGCCAACCACCCACTAAATATCCCTCTCTCTCCCAACATGTAACACGATTTTTAACAACATGAATTCCATGATAGAAAGACGTTTTAGAGAAAGTAATCAGACGTTGGGCCTCTATTGGGTCCCCAAAGTGATAGAACCAGTTTTTTACATAATACTTCCATTATATTCATAAATCTTCATATCTGGTTAAGAAAATTATTCAACTAAAGCTTCCAACAAAGGTTATGTCGCATGATTAGGTCATCGTCTTTAAAAAATTGCGAAATCCTAATCCTGTCTATGGGGTTTTTTTTCTTTGACGCATCATATTGGAAAAGACTGGACAAAGTGACAGGTTGGAGGAAACAGAAGCACACTCACACCGTAACCGTTACTTGTTGCTGGAAAAGAGCGACACACAAACAGGACAGGGAGCGTAATAGAAGTAAAACATATCAATGCAACCCTTCAAACATCCTTTCATGCCAACTGCACAAGCAGAACAAGTATTTGGGCATTTTCAAAAACATACCAAAATATCCAAACAGCTACCACATCTTGTCTACTGGACTAACAAGCTTTCCTGTTTCAGTTAACTTACTATGCCAAAAGGACACAAACTACCCTTCAAACCTTCGCTACATCTTGGCAACAAACTATTTTTGCCAAATTTTAATATCAAAACTTTTTTTGTTTTAAATCAATATCACTGCAATCAGCAGAACCAAACACATCGCCACATAATAATGGGCACACAGTAACATCAATACAGTCGCCTCATACAGCTGCCAAGTACACTAGCTTTAACTTACTGAGGACTGGTTTCAAACATAGATGGGATATCTGCTCGGCCCTGGTCCGTAACATAGATGGGATCAGGATTTCGTATTTTTTTCAAGATGATCTAATTATCCCAAATTTTTTAATATGAAGCTTCAGTCAAATCATTCTCCTAACCCGACATGATGAAGATTTGTAAAATACGGAAAACGTATGTAAAACCGCTTTCACTTTGGGGACCCAATAGAGGCCCAACATGTGTTCACTTTGCTTATTATTATTTTAAAAATACAAGATCTATAAATGTTTCAGAACTTTGCAAGACAGTACCAGAACAATTTTAAAGTGAAGGTGTCCTGATCTAGTCATCATATTTTTGTGTTACAATAATCAATAACTTAGCAAATCAATAACTTAGCAAACTCATTGCTAAAAAAACATTTAGAAGGATGTCTCTTTCTTCCCGCAACACCCAAAAGGGTATGAGCGGCTGATAAAAGTAAAAGTAAAGTAAATAATTAATTTTTGTTGTCATTTTCTATCACATTCAGAAAGCAGAAATTTTTTCCAAAATTGAAAATAACAGACAACTTAGCAAATCTAAATGCATTATAAAGAGGAGAAATGCCAGTAACTTAAAATTTATATTTCTGAGAACTTTTGGAAAAGTGTGAAAATGACCAGCATGAAAGTGCCTACCGCGATTCTGTACTGGCCAATGCTCAATTAGTTACACGAGGGCCACTGGACATAGCTATGGGGAAGGGTGAGGAGTAGTCGTGTAGCGAGCGCCCGATACTGATTCGTTACCTGCGAGCCCAGAGGGTGCACTTGAAAAACGAGCGGACCGCTTTGTGAGCAGTGCGTAAAACGAATCACTAATACCATCCCCCATAAGCCCAAGATGCTGCGCAAAAGGCTAGGCCTAATGATAAGCTGGTTGTATCGAAGAGCCGTCTGAGCAAGCGCTCGATAGGCCTACCGATTCATTACCAAATTGAGAAACGAGCAAACGGGTCGCAGACATCAGATGCCAGGGTGATAGAATCAACATGTGCTTAAAATGTGCATTGTTTCTTGAAGATCAACAAGAAAGGCACTCCCCGGACTTCATTGTGACATTGTGACGTCATGAACGAGCCAGCCAAGATAACCGTTTCCGGCTCAGTGGGCTTGCTTGTTCATAACGTATTTCGTTTTTTGACGAGCGCCCAATTTCACCACGATTCCACACATACTTACTTGCCATCACCATAGCTGTAGCTGATAAAATTTAAAACAAAACTGAGAGCAACAGGAAACTGTGAAATTTGTTAAAAAATCAACCAAAAGTATTTTTCCATGGAAGAATATATATTTTTATACCAAACTTGGAGTTGTTTTAGCATTGCACTTCCGGTAAAATAAATCCTTATATTTCACACATGAAATACAGGACTAAGCTGATGATATCTCACACTAGAACTAGAAATATAAAAATTTGCACAAATTACTGCGCGCACTATATTCGCCTTCTAACCTTTTGTAAGCAAAGTATAGACTTGAATCATAATGTTCCTAGACCGTGCAATGTTATGGCAGCCACCTTTTGCCCTCGGTAAAAACTTCGCTGCAAAGCCCGCTCACTAAAGGCGCCCAAATGAAGTGGCAAACACCAGTCTCCCACTGTCCCAATAGCCTAGAAGAGAGAAGGCACGATTCTCTACATTCCCCTTTAAATTTGTTGGAAATTGAGTCAAATGGTGCGCACCATAGTGAACCGGGATTACGTCAAGAGTGCGGCGATGTATTTTTCAGTGCAATGCTAGCAAGTCTAGGCCTATGCTAGAAAACGGCTCCCAGCATTTGGTTTGTTTTGATTGCAAAGTTTGAAATCAAAGTTATATATTCTCACGGCAACATGTCATATAAATGCAGTTTCTCAATTTTTTCAACTTTTGAATCGTACGTTGTCCGCTTGCTTCGCCTATGCTTACGTTATTATTGTTTGGTTTGGGGTTTATTTCGCGGAGGGGGGGAGGGAGGGGGGCATACGGATAGCACAACATGTAAATTAGCATGACTAAAAATAAAGGAAAACAATCCAGATTTTTTTCCCATCCTCACTCTGACTCAGACAGGCACGAAAATTTTGTTTTCATTTCTGAATCTTGAATGAATCCTCTTGTCCAATTGGCTGGTCATTTGAAATTTGTTGGCCTGGATCTATTTCGCCAGCTGATATCAGTATGGTATAAAAAATTTATTACACTTGTTATGGTGGTAGACCATGGTTTATCCTACATGTGGAATTGCCAGTTGTAATTACTCGTTGAAACTCGTGATTACAACTTGGCAATTTCACTCATAGGATAAATCATGATCTTCCACCTCAACTCAGGTAATAAATTATTTTTATATAAAATTAACATTGCTAAATAAACTCAGGAAAGGAGGTGGCTATTTAAATTGTAGGCTCCAGATCTCAACCATTTCTTTCCTGATAAGCTACAATATACCATTGAAAATTTTGAATAACCCTGTAGCATATTTCTCGGTCGATTCTTTAGATGTCCTCTTCAACATTAAGTTTCAACCATTCGATTGTTTGTCGGTTGATTCCATAGACTGTCTGTCAAAAAATCCCAAAGGAGATAACTGAAGGGGTTAAAGTTGAGGGGAATAAGGTGACTGTTCATATGTAACCTTTTGGCTAACAGGGCCTTCCCCAAAACTTTCTTGCAGCCACGCAAAGGCCACTCTTGATGTGTGGGGAGTGGCCCCATCCCACTGGAACCACACCTCCTCAACATCATAACTGCTTCTACTCCCCAAATTTCTCCTAAACATTCTCAGCATCGTGAGATAAATCAATCTGATGGGAATAAAGGTCATGGTTTTTACCATCCCTGCCCTCAAAGCAGAACAGACCCGTCATGCCCCTGTAGCAGATACTTTTAAAAAGTTAAGCCTTGCATTTTACCCAATTTTGGTCGACTTTTTAAAACTTGATATTTATCGAACACATCAATTGACTGTCTTCATACTAACAAATTTCACATCTCCTGAGATGAATTTTATTTGTTTCAGGTTTTGCAGAAGCTAGGGCAAATATGATTGAGTTATTACCCTTAAAATGGGTTTTTCAGAATGTTTTTTTAGACACCATGTATCTGGAAAATTTAGCAAAATATACAAAAGTATCGAAACAGCCATAATAACTAGATCTACTAAGCTTGACATAGATGTAAGCAGAGCTGGAACACCCTGCTAAAACGTCGTTCACTTGATTTCATTCTGACATTCAAAGTTCTGCATGTATCACTTACATAGCATATCTATCTTGCCTCACATTGATGGCTGAAAACAAAATTGTTAACCAAACTGCATTACCCTGAGAAAAATGTATCAATAAAAAGAAATGCGGAGTCCATGTTCGAGATTGGTTGAACAATTTGCAACACCATGAAGAACTAACCTGTTTGGTCTCTCAGTATTTCAAGACACTCTAAAGTTGTTGCTTCAGAAGGATATTGCTGCAGCTGATCTAGCACTGAAACAAGCTGGAAAATGAAAACCACTAAATTGAATTACATCAGATTACAAAAAGAACATATACAAAAGAAAGACAGACAGAGAAAGAAAGAAAGAAAGAAAGAGAGAAAGAAAGAGAGAAAGAGAGAAAGAGAGAAAGAAAGAAAGACAGACAGACAGACAGACAGACAGACAGACAGACAGACAGACAGACAGACAGACAGACAGACATCGAATCTATGCATAGCACCATTTTTTCACAGCCAAAAGTGCAAGAATTGTAAGTGATGAAAATGTCTATGTATAGAGCAAACCAACACACATATCTACCCATTAAAGTCGATCTTATATATCAATAATAAGAGATTCTGGTACAAAATAATCCACCAGGAAGGGCTAATATAAGACACCTAGTTGTATATATTAGAACAATTATGCTTGACTTGGGATATTTTTTTATACTTTGCATACTTAAGCACAGGCTGGCACAGACGAGAAAAAATTCATAAATAGCTATGTATTATTGTTCAAATACATATAATGACTGAAGTTGTGTGACATGATGAACACTGTAACTTCTATACCAACGAAGCCCTAGAAATCTGAAGCTAAAGGAAACAAACTATAGATCATAATATAACAACAAAAAAGATTTGCACAGAATAGATTGACTTGTGCCTTTTTAATGCCATTTACCATCATTTAGGAGCATTCCAAACAAAGATTGACTTGTGTTTAAGAGTTAACTAGAAAGAGATACAAAATTTGCCAATACAAATCAAAATTAACCAGACAAACAGATTTTCCTCCAAATCCTCGACTGTAGAGCTCCTTACCATAACAGACGAGGTGCCACCAATGATTAGCTATTTGAAGGTGTTCAGTCATACAGTGAAACTCGCACTCACCAAACACAGACTCAATCAAAACCCAGGACTCACAGAAAAGAGATGGGTTCCTCCTTATTTTTCATTTATTAGAATTAACCAGTTATCTATGAGAGGCCATTGACACCAGCCAGCGAGGTGGTCACGTTTGGATGAGTGGCCAGAGCCACCAGCCCATAAGAATGCGATAGTTTACTTCCAAATGAACACCGAAAATGTCCCAGTGCATTCATATTATGACTAGTATTCTATACATAGATGTTAGATTTTTTCCCCCAGCGGGGTCTGCTCAATTGGTTTGTTGATTGTTTGAAAGAAAGCCATTTTTCAATCAGGCAGTGTTTCCATTTGTGGCTGTATGGTAACTATATATATATACTCGACTTGAAGTGCATAAGGAAATATTTATTACTATGAAGAATTCTGTTAGTAAAATGATTACCAAGGCCAAGCGTACTTTCTTTTTGTCAAAATTTGAAAATGTTAAAACTTGTAAGGAACTTTTTGATGTCTCTAGTGAACTGCTTGGCAGCCAAAACAAAACAATATTACTCCCTGGCACCGATAGAGATCTTTGTAGTAGCTTTTCAGACTTTTTTTCTAAAAAAATCACCTCCATCAGGCAAGAGCTCGATAAAATGTGCGCAATTGCCCCTAATTACAATCAGTTTAAGGGGCTAGTCATCGATTATTTTATTCCAGCAACGGAAGAAGAAATCAAAAAGATCATATTAGATAGTCCATCAAAAAGTTGCGCCTTAGACCCCATGCCCACCAGCCTTTTAAAAAAATGTTTGCATGAACTTCTTCCACATATCACCCAAATTGTAAATGATTCTCTCCTCACAGGCACAGTACCAAATTGATTTAAGACAGCACATGTAAGACCCCTTTTGAAAAAATCTGGACTTGATGAAAAGGACTTTAAAAATTTTACACCAGTTTCATATCTTTCTTTCCTATCCAAAATTCTGGAAAAAGTTGTATCTAATAGACTGTTACATCATATTAAAGCAAATAATCTTAGCGAAGTCTATCAGTCAGCATATAAGGCACACCATAGTACCGAGACAGCGTTACTTAGGGTCTGTACTGATATTTTAAAATATATTGATGAAAAAAAGGTATGTCTTCTTACTCTTTTGGCCCTTTCGGCTGCATTCGATACCATTGATCATGACATTCTACTCGAGAGATTAAATACTACTTTTGGCATAAAGGGTACTGTCCTGCCATGGTTTGAGTCATATTTTAAGGATCGAACACAAGCAGTTGTGGTTGGAAGCACGTGTTCTAATAATGTTTTGCTTAGATGTGGTCAGGGGTCTGTTCTTGGACCTGTCTGATTTACAATGTATACACAAACTATTGCTGATATTCTAAGACAATATGGCATGAATTACCATCTTTATGCTGATGACACTCAAATTTATAAGTCTATTGATTTCGATCAAATACCACTTTTAGTTGACTCTACTGAACAATGTACTAGAGATATAAAAATATGGATGACCAGCAATAAATTGAAACTAAATGATGACAAGACGGAAATAATGTTGAGTGGAAATACAAAAGCCATTAAAAATCTCCCAGAGCTACAAATTGATATAAATAACCATACTATTCGTTCAAAAAGAAGTCTTAAAAATCTAGGGGTTCAGTTGGATTATGATATGTCTATGTCCTCCCAAATTAGTAAGCTCAGCAAAAGTATTTACTTTCAGCTTAAGAAAATTGGCAGTGTACAAAATTATTTAACTAAAGCAGCAGCCAAGACACTCGTAACAACACTCATTTTATCAAAGTTAGATTACTGTAATGCTATTTTGTCCGGTTTGACATCCGAAAAACTATCAAAGTTACAAGTACTCCAAAACCAAGCAGCAAAACTAATAATGAAACAAAAGAAATCAGCGCACGTAACACCAATTCTGAAAGAACTACACTGGCTGCCAATAAAAGAAAGGATTAAATACAAAACTGCCGTTCTTTGTTTTAAATGTATAAATGATAGTGCACCTTTTTATATGAAAACATTCCTGGAATTATATCATCCAACTAGAGCCCTTACATCAGTCTCTGATAATCTAATTCTTAAAATTCCAAAACATACGGCGAGCATTCCTTTTTATTCTTTGGTCCCCAGGTATGGAACGAACTCCCATATAAAATAAGATCTGCCCAAACAATTTCCATTTTCAAAAATCAGCTGAAGCATTTTCTATTCACAAAAGCATACCTGTCTTAATGATGTACTGTGATATATATATGCATGTGTACGCCAGACTGTGAGACTGAAGAAATAGCGTGTGAGAATGAGAGAGAGAAAAAGAGAGAGAGAGAGATAGGGAGAGAAAAGAGAGAGATAGAGGGAGAGAGAAAGAGAGAGAAAGAGAGTGAGAGAGAGAAAGAGAGAGAGAGAGAGAGAGAGAGAGAGAGAGAGAGAGAGAGAGAGAGAGAATGGAAATGTTTTTCTATCTGTATAGAATTAATGTTTTAATGAATGTTTCTAGTTAGGCCTACTCACGTTTCAACTTTATTGTGACCGCTCGTGAATTTTTATTGCATTGTTTTTTTTTAGTGAACACATTTTCAACCTCACTGCGAGACTATTTTTCTCATATAAAATTTTACACATATGCATTTATATTATATGTATAATACGTTGTTTTATGTACGCACTTGTCGATTAATTTTTAATACGTGATGTCTTTTTCTTTGTAATGCGCATTGAGCATCTTTTAGAAAATGGAAATGAGCAGTATAAATGCTATTTATTATTATTATTATACAAACTCAGCTGATTGCTCAAAAACCGCAGGAACTAGTGGAATTTTTTAAAATAATTATCTTTTTACAATGAAAAGTGACATGCACATTCAGAAGTGTATGTAGACTGAATAAATTACACATTTTAAAACAATTTCCAAAGTAATGTATGTATTTGTTTACTTTATTTGACTTTTTTTTTGCACTGTTTGTTTTGTCTGGTTTGTATTACCACCATAAATTTCTATTGTATTGATATTTTGGCCCAATTGTTTACTTAATCGGATTTTGCATTCATTTCCCGTCTTAATGAGGTATAAAATACTGTTGTAGCCTGATTTGGCGAGAAATTATAGCCCACTATGTATGTAAGTGATCCGCATGCTCCATTTTGACAGACCAAACGAGGAAAAAAAATCTGAAACAAACGGTTAATACAATAATAACTCATATTCACCAAACATTTAAATGAGCAAACTCCAAAAGTTGCTTGCAGAGAGAACATCTTTAGTGTCCAGATCGTGGCACGTTGGTTTGGTCTTTCACCACTTACACACATACACACATATATGCACACGCACACACACACACACAAACAAACATGCACACACACGCAGTATGCTTGCTCTCACAAACAGGCTTACAGTGACATGCTTATAATATAAATGAACAGTAATATAAACAATAATAATGTTAAGCTAGATACATATATTCAGCATTCTGATCGTAACTCAATGCTATTCTGAGGCATGCTCTAAGGTCATATGAATACTAAGATGATTAAGATGGAAGAAGTTTGATGGATGATAGTAAGAGTGACCTTCTGTATCTTTCTTTGTTACAGATCAGAAGCCTAGGTCTTTTATTTCAGACTGATATTTTTATTTGAGGGAACAAGGGATGTTTATTGTCCAAAAAGATGGAATTAATTTTAGTAGTGCAAGCTATAATGTACAATTCATCCAAAAGGCCAGATAATGTTTTGTTATTTTTTAAACAACAACAAAAAAAACCAGGAAAAAAGGGAAAGACCAAAAAAAATCTCAGTTTAATTCAAAAGCCACCATCAAAATCAATTTCAAACTATGCAAGACACATTTCACTATTTTTGCACTGTTGCCTTTTTTGCAGGTTGTCCCTTTTCCTCCTTTAAGTCTTTCAAGGCAGAACTACGGTCTTCGTCTGGACGGTACAATTGGAGGACAAGTTCAAAGATACCATGCAAGTCGAACTGTTGACAAAAATTTGGGAAAACTTTGACATACCCTTGAGACTAATAAATTTCCACAGCCTCCTTTAAAACAAGTCTGTTCAACTCTTTAAGCCCTGAACTTCTGGGTACCCATGTTTTTGGGGGTTTCTTTTACCCAATCTGTAAATTTAATCAAGACCAGTAAATTTCAACAGCCTCCAATAAAACAAGTCTGTTTAAGTTAAAACTCTTTAAGCCCTGAACTTCTGGGTACCCATAGTTGTTTTTTTACCCGATCTGTAACATTAATCTAAAAAAAACTATTGGATTGATCACCTTGTGCTTGACATGCTCAATATGCTATGTAAATAGACATAAACAATCTTCTCCTGAATACAAACTATTACCACATATAGTCGAAACTTTTCTGAACCTGGTCTAATGGCCACCTGTCAAAGACAACCATCTGTATAAACAACCACTTTCCATTACCCCTCCCCATGCATATTTTTTGTTGTCCAAGACGTCAACCTGACAAAGATAACCACTTTTCTCCTCTACAATGGTGGTCATCTTCGGCATTTTCAATTATTTACATCATATAAAAATTTACAACAATACAATTTGACTTGATAAAAAAAAATGGTAAAACAACAAATCAGTCTGGTAATGAGAGCCATGATTGTTTACTTTTTGTAAATAAATCTATATTTTAACACAATTTAGGTTTCAGTGAAAACTATTCTCTCAACCCCCCCCCCCCCATCTGCTACTCTAATTTTTTTTATTAAAGAGAAAGTAGGTGTAGATATGTGACAAGACGTTGACACTAACCTGTACTTCAATTGCCTTCGAGGTTTCACACTCTGAAAAAGCTATTGGCAGAAGAAACAACAAGACAATTTCAAAGTTAAGAAGGTAACACTGACAACATGCAACAGACCTCACAGAACACAAACAAGTCCAATACTAAATTCTAAAATCAACTAAACTAACACAAAAGTGAGGATGAATTTCCTTTAGATTACTATACAAATCAACATCATCTTTCACGAGTGAAAAAAAGTGACAATCGCAGATCCGGCTAGGGCCCATAGGAACTTGGTAGTCTGCCTTCCAACCCTCAGGATAACAGACCACTAAAAGCCTATGGTCTGTATTCCTACCCCAGAGAAGTATACACTTCTTTTCAGTATACCATATACCCGTAGATACTGTGCCTACATTCTCAAACCATGCAAACTTGTATAGTAATACTCCAATACAACTTGCTGGGATTTTACAAAAATTAGGATTCAACAAAAGGTTACCTGCTTTAAAAATTTATTATATTCAACAAAATACCTTGTACACTTGAACCTGAGTAAGATGGAATTGCAAGAGAGCCAGAAAAAAAATTCCGTCTCAGACATTTTCTATCTTAGGGAATTTAAGGCAAGACG